CCGGGGAGATTCCCTGTGTTTCGACCATTGTCCCCCTTTCCCCGTGTCCCCAGTGATGCATCCCAAATGAATGATCATGACGTCACTGTGTGACTAAATGGTGACTTTTATCGATTGCTGCTAAGAGACATTTTGTACTACATGCATGACAATCAATACGGGGCTTAATAATATCCCGAAATAAACACACCAGAACTTCTAAAAATAAAACGATATCGCCGGCGTCACAATGAAACTGATCCCCCTAGTGCAGCTGTCCGCACACGAGTAATGAATATCATTGTGTTCCCAAAAAAGGAGGATCTGCTTCTTTTTTGTTTTAGTTTTAGTAGAGGTTTTACGGCGCTCGCAACTTCATAAGGTCATAATATGAGAGCCAGAAGATTAGAGATGTTATAAGAGAGTAACATAACAAACACACAAAAGAAGGAGGGGAGATAAGGACGATAGATGTTTGATAGAAAAGAAGAAGCAAACTACACCAGAGCACCCGCCAACCACACTCGAAGTGCTTCTGATAACAATTTTTAAAAATTGTGACACCACCAAGTACAAACATGTTATGTGCAGATAAAACGATAACGTCGATGATGATGCTTTTGTCCACAGCTAGCTAATGAGCGGTTTCTCAGAAACTCTGTTTTCCTGGCGTGTTTATCTTCCTTTCGACAGCTGCTTAATGTGTGAAGTTGATCAACGGATTTGCACGAACATGTGCAGTGTTGTATTTTTTAATGTTTAAAAAGGTTGGGAGGGGCTATTTTCTGTTGCACGCAAAAGGTGTGAGTTCGATTATTGAGTGTGTTTCTCATTACTTAAAACCCCGCCACTGGTGTATGTAGTGTGGCGGTTAGGCACTTGGTTGTCACACGCAGAAAACCTGAGTTCGATTCCCCGTCTCGGGAGACTTTTAATTGGGAGAAAGGGGGGGGGGGTTCCGAACTTTACTTTTCCCCCTCCTTTTAATGCACATGAAGATCAATCAACAATAATCCTTTCAAAGATGTGGGTGGTTGGCGGGTGCTCTGGTGTGGTTTGCTCCTTCTTTCCTATCAAATATATTTCGTCCTAATCTATCCTCCTCCTTTTTATGTTTGTTACTCTCTTGTAACACCTCTAATCTTTGGCATTTATAGTATGACCTTATTGTGTTGACAAGTGCCGTAAAACTCTTACTAAAACTTTTTTTTTTTTAAGAAGAAGATTTCTTCAGGCTTCAGGCTTCAGACGCCACCGGAAGTTTCACTTCCTCGCTAATGTGTTGGGCCACACACAACGGTTGTGTGCACAGACAAATTCGTTCTTGTCCCTTGACCTTGCTGTTAGCACAGGTGTCGTATTGATGTGCTCTCACTCTCACACGGTCTGCAAACACGGTGGGGAACGTGCCCTCATGTGAAAGTGCTTACCTGAAGCCTTTAGGGTTACGAGTTCAAATCCCCAGGTAAAGTGGTTTTAAGTCTAGGGAGGGATTTCCGCTTCCTGTATGGGTCACAGAGGTGTCGGTCTTTGGGAAGAGGAAACAAAAGAGAGAG